ATCGATAGATTCCTCTCCAAATCAATAGCTAATGTATACGATGTATATAGAAGGTTCATCTATCAAATTTACATACTTTTACATAATAATAGTCATCATCTGGCCCCTTGTGAGAAAACTAGTCTCAACTCACATACGACTAATCATTGATAATTAGCATGATAAATTGTAGGCGTGATATCACTATGGATATGATCTTTCAAGCTTGAATATGGTGTAGTGTTACCATGAGATAATGGGAGTTATACAATAACAATGATTTTTTGGAATGGATTGAATTAAGATTAGGGTATCAATATATATATATATATATATATATATATATATATATATATATATATATATATATATATATATATATATATATTTAAAAAGGTGCCTAGCTAATTATCTCATAATGCATTTGGCCCCAGAAAAAGCAAAGAAATTGAGCATATATCCCTCAAAGTAAGAAGTAATGACCAAGGACAACATTAATTCTTTTTATATATATAGAACTGTAAAGTTTGGTTGAATGTTTCTACTTTCTAACCTATATATCATTTGCAGTTCAACTTTGTGCAGCCATAGATATTCCAAGAACAAGGCAGCTGCAACGGTCAAAAGAGATTCATCAACCTCCCAACACTATGTACATACGTTGCATATATACACCCGAGTGTACGTAAACCAAGTAGAATCGGACTATTTTATAAACCCAGATATATAATAGATAAGCTATAGCGTATATACTTGGTACTCTACTACTCCGTATTATATAATGACAAATATTTGGATATTGAAAGTGGGGTGGTTCCCCACAAAAAGCTTTAAAAAATGGTATCATGGAGTGCATGCCTAATGCTGCCAAAGATCCCTCATATAATTACTTGTTTTTTTGGAGATTTTCATTTCTAAATTGATTAGACAATATCATAATTTTAAGTAGCAACCACACATGTACGTTATTGTAACACACTTTACACGGGTGTAAGTTTATTTCCTGAATGTCACCCTTGTCATGATCAATATTCAACAATATGTAGGTAGTGATGTAAGTAATGACTTGTTAACCTATCAGGTATATCGACTACATAGTACATAACAATACATGGGTATGTTATTTCAAGTTATTGACCCTTAATTAACAAAATTACTATGCTCTCATATATGATCGAAAACCGTATAACATTATAATCCGAAATATTGTTGAAATTGTCTTAATATATCTATTTAAAACGTTAATTTAAATAATTTTACTATTATTTCTTTCTTTGTTTGTTGATAGATGCGTCAGTTTTATTTCATTGACTATTTACACAGTACTCCGTAATTGAATTTTACCATAAGTTTATTAATTAACATGTAATTTTTAAAAAAATAAATAAATAAAATCATACATTACAAAGATATTTAAATCTAACAAAAATATGACAATATGGTTTATTTAAGATTTATTACAATGTGTATTTATAATACAAAACTATTAATTGTCAAAGCAATGTGTTACCGCTAGTAAAAAAAAAAAGGATTAGTAAGTGTGTTTAATCAAGTTTAATGTATAATTATACTAACAAGATGTAGATATATTTAATTATTCCATAGGCAATGCAAGATATTGTTGGTGATAAAAATATTACAGTCTGAATACATATGCAATTATGCAAAGTATGATGTGTCAACTAAGTTGTGCTAATTTGACTGTAGTAGTTCTATTAACAAGAAAATTAAGTAGTTCCTCATTTAAAAGCCACCTTATTATCAAATAATGCAACGTGAAAGGACTAATATAAACTATCACGTGAGAAGATGTGTTTTCCCTACCTGCTTTATTTGGCATTATTAGCTGAACTTTCTTATGGGATAAGGGATTTAAAAGAAGCTTTATTTCTTTTTATGAGTCGTGATTAAATTTAAATAAAAGTCATATACGGATCGAAGTTCATAAAATGCGAAATATAATCCATTATTATGTAGTACTACGTAGTAAACTTCGTGTTGCTACAATTATACGGGTAAAGAGGCTAAATTGCTAACTACTAGCTAATAACTATTCGTATTATATAGATCATCAAGGCGTATTATGTAGATCATCAAAGCATAGTACTCAAGGAGTCAAGTAAGGGTATTCAAGCATATTGTCGATATTGATCAAGCTGCAATATAATTCTGAGTGAATTAAGAATAACTCGATAATTTGGTAGCAAATGCCTACATACTATCATTTAGTCTATGTATGTCAAGTCGAATAGGCGATCTTCTTTGCATTTCCGAGTTGGAAGTACAATGGCTTATACACATTATCAAAAAATATAATGAGCAACGGATTGGCTAGCTAAAGAAGTGTAGTTTAAACTTTAAAGATAATCAACTTTGAAAAGCCTATAACTCGACGTTCGGAAGATTCTCCATATAGGAGTGCTAGTCACTTACGTATTGTAACTTGTTTTACTTCGTTGCTAATAACGCTAAGGTTTTTTGTTCGCGCCTAACTAAGCTAGTCTCTCTTTCGCCTAGAAAAAATGTGCAGTCACTCGAATACTCCCTCCGTTTTTGCTCCATTTTTTCATGAGCGAAGTTTTAGAAGAAATTGGAGAAAGTAATAAAATCTGAAAGTAGTGGGGTAGTTGAGAAGATAAAAAAATTGTAAAAAGCAAAAGTTGTGGAAGAATAGGAGGGGAGAGTATATTATGTTGGGTCCATTAAGTGTGAAAAATAAATTAAATATTGTAAAAGTTTTTCATAAAAGGAAATGAAGCAAGTATTTAAAAACGGTCAGAAAACAAAAGTGAAGCAAGTATTTAAAAATGGAGGGAGTATTATCCATACTTATGTTAAAGGATATTTATTTCACATATTGACTTAATAGTTGTTAAAAGGCTAAAATATTATCCATTGATTTACAACTTTTTCGAACATTATATGGAGTATTGATTTTTGAGTTATAAATATCTCTAAAAATATCTATATAACTTTTTAAGAAAGATACCTATAAAAAGTATTCACATTAATTACATATTTTAAGGGGAATTTATTTTCAAATGTAAGGAATAACAAATTACAGTATATATTTTGAGATGAAAAGAAATCCAATGACCGTAGTCACCTAAGATGAGAGTTTTTTTTTTTTTTTTTTTGTTTTTTTTTTTTAAAGGTATTCAGCTAGTGATTTGGAGTATTTATTATGGTAGATGAAATTTAAACTCGTGACCTTCTTTGTCATGCTTACTCTTTATACCATGTTAGAGGATCAATTTAACAAAATAACCAAAAATTGAAACTTGAGGTTAAAGTCGGGAATAGGTTTTATACTCAATCAATCACTTAAAAATATATAAATTAATTAAGAAAAAGTACGGTATTTAAATGGTCCTAAACTACTTAAATTATCCTTGCACTTGACGGAGACTTTTGACGCAAGAAATGCAACAAGAGTTAGATAGGATGGTGATTTTAATTTCGCTCTCTATCTTTAATAAGAATTATTAATTAGCGGCCAGCAGCTAAATAACCACTTAAACAATGACAATTACTTATACTAGCGAAATTCACGACCTAATTTATTAGCTTGTACTCCTCCCGCAGTCCTGCCATAGAACAACTAATATATTTGATTAATTTTACTAGTCATATGAAGTACTCCCTCCATTTCAATTTGTTACTCCCTCCATTTTAAGATATACCCATATTGAATGTATTCCATTTTTAACTTACTTTTTAATTCTTATTTTATACATAATAAATTCTGATTGGTTAGATTAATTGATTGTGAATTAATGACATGACTCTAAGTAAAGAAATTACTCCCTTGATTTATGCAAATATGACTAAAACTTTCCTAAAAAAAAATCAAAAAAATTAAATAAGGCAAAAAATAAAATATAAACAAAAAAGAATTGTTTTGTTTTTTTTTTTTGAAGGAAAAAGGAAGAAATTTATTATCTCACAGTTATTTAATTTTGGGTGTTGGGCTATTGGCACACTTGCCACCAAGCGTTGTTAAATTTAGGCGTAATATCAAGTTACTTCATATTATTAACTCCCTCCTACTAAATGTTTATTTCCATCATTTGCTTTAAAGTCAATGTAGATCATCAATTTTAACAATTATATTTTACAAGTATCAAATAAGAAAACAATTATTTTTTACTTTATTTTTTTAAAAAAAGGTGAAATTATAATGTTAGACATATGATATATCGAAAAATATATGTATCATAATATCATATCACAATATAAATTCCTATCTCAACATATAATAATACATGTAAGATTTAATTTGTAAGAATTGTTTTAAGATTAACTCGAACTTAACAATGTTTACCAACATAATTAGAGATACCAATATATAGTCAAATTATTAAAAATCAGAATATAAAAAAATGCGACTAAAATGAGATAGAAGTATCTATAGATGAACTAACTAATTAGTTCCCTTACTATGTTTATAATCTGGAACTAAATGTAAGGAAATCAGAGTTATCATACAACATATATTTCATTTACAATTAATCTTTTTAAAATATGCACATATATATATATATATATATATTTACAACTTTAAAACAATAAAAATATTTAATCTGTAAATTTTGATTTAGAAATGACCAAACAATAACAAAAAATACTAATAATAATTAAAAGTAAAAAAAAAAATATTAAAAAAAAGGACATTTGTAAAAATTGGAGAGCAATAGCTCTATAGTAAACTAAATAAACAGAGAAACTTAAATTTAATTTTGCATTACTATTATCATAATGGAAAAATAGTACACTATAACATCTTTAATATGTTGTCCAAAATAATTTGGGAGGAAGAATTTTATCATAATTTTTTACGAGTAATGATTTACAAATATCAAAATTGTATGATATGAAAAACATAGACCAAAACATCCAAAATATGCTGTCCGAATCTAATCCCCAACACGCATAATCCTAGAACACTCCAAAAACATGTGGAAGAGCACAACTACAAACAAGATAAGACTTTACTGATATTGTTGCACCAAACATCAAGCTTAACCTTAAACGTCCATTTATATAACTCCATCTTATATTATACCAAGTATTTCTTAACATGTTTTAATTCCTTTTTTTTTCGTCACAATAACTTAAATTTGCACTAATAATCACCCATAATTACACCAAATTAGCAACCATAATAGCATAACACACTAACTATATACTAAGATTATATTTATATAGTTCATTGCACCGACGACGTACATTACATATATACGTCTTAATATTGTAATTAATAGTGTATCATTATTCAAGCAATCAAATAACTCTAACCTCGAGTTTATCCATAATCTTGATTTGTTCATTGATAATCCAAGCTACTAATCTTTTCATGCTGCTGAATATCTGCATGATCTGCAACAATGTTCATACTATTCGTCTGCCCCAACAAACTACTAAGCGACCTAGCTTTGACTACACCAAGTTTCACCCTCTTATTATTACCAAACGAACTCATTCTTTCCAACTTCTTCTCACTATTATCTTCCACTGCCTCAACCTCCTCAACCCGGCCTAGCGCGAATTTAGTCCCGTTTGTAGAGTTGCTCTTCTTCTTAGAGGACCGCGACTTTGCACTAGTGTTACTTGTCATACTCCGGAGTCTACCCTTTCCTAAGTGATGCTCGCATAGGGAGTATCCCACGAGTGTCGGTTGACAACACCTCCACCCTCTCCCGTTCACTCGGCTGCACCTTGAACCTTCCATTATTGTGTTACCCCTCTTTGCATTTCCCTTCTTTGCACTCACTGCTGCTACAGATGCTGCTGCTGCTGCTACCTTATCGTTATTACCTTCCACTATTTGTTTTTCTTCTTCACTGCCGGTGTTATCCAACTTCATTGACGTTGTTGTTGTTATAGTTGTCGTTGTCATGTCGTTCTCCATACCATCAAATATCGAGCTTTCAACAAAGGTATCAAACCCGATCCCCCTCCTCTTCTTCAGTGGAATCGCTTTATCACCATCGCACCACCTCCCTACCACTTGATCTAATGACATTACAGTATTATTCACAACAACAACAATCTCAAAACATCATCATCAATTGAAATGAATGACTTACAAAACAAAAATAATTCATTGCGTTTATTATTATTATTATTATTATCAATACCTTCATTATTGGAGAGAGATAAAGATCGTCCACTATCATCGTTAATTTCTGTTGCACTCCTTATACTCGCGTTACTAAAAATCGGAAACTCCCAGAAATCAACAACCATTGACATTAAAAGCGAGAAATCAAACAAAAATAGAAAAATGATAGACAAATATAAGATGAAGGTGGGTGCAAAAATATGTATGTTATGTAAATGATACATATTGAGAGATAAAATGCTGTTGATGGGGACCATCATCGTCCCCATGCTAACATCCATCGCATTGGTGTAGTACAATAATAATACTTTTATTTTATATATAAATATATTTTTATTTTTTGATTTTTATTTTTAATTTTAATTTTAATTTTGGGTAGATAACCAAATAAAAGAAAATTAAAAGGACTAGATGAGATTAGATGGGGAAGGTATGGTGACTCTTGCCAAAAGCTGATAATAAAAACTTCTTCCCCAACTTTCTTCTAAAAATTATACATATATAATACTAGTATATTCCCACTTTAATTAAGTATCTATGTACTTCAAACTGTTACCTTCTCCGTCTCTAAATAAAACAATCACCGTTAAAGTAGGAATAACGTTTAGAGACCAGACGAGACGGGGAGAGAGTATGATTATACTTGACCCTTTAATTTCTAGATTTGATCAAAGTAGGTACCAACATGAAATAAAGGTTAAAATAAAAAAAAATAAAAGAAGAAAATAAAAAAAAATTCCAAATAATTTTTCATTGCATAAAGAATTGGAAAATTCAAACGATGGTATTTAAGAAATTGAAATTATTGTTTACCTGATATTATCTTCATTATTGTTAATTTGCAGTCCGCTGTTGTCGACAACCTCAAATCCCTACAGAAGTAAAATCGTTGAAGCAAAAAAGATCTATTATTAGTACTCCATCTATCTAATGTAAAGAACTAAATAATTAAATTTAATTATATATGGTTGAAGAATGTATAGTAGTGCAATTGCTCTTAAATAAAATTACTACAACAACCATCCGTACTACAACAACAACAACAACAGTAAAATAGATGAAAACAACACACAAAGTTACCGTAGCATCAACGGTAGTATTAGTAGCAGAAGCAAGCTTAGAAGTGCTATCGTTATCGACTAACGGTCCGCTGCGGCGTGGATCCGCAGCGGACCGTTTAGTTGTCGATAAATGATCGGATGACGACAGCATCAGAGGCGACGAGGAGGAGGAAAGGGTGGTGGTGGTGGTAGTGTTATTATCATGAGTAGTGTTTTGCACCGGTGACCGGCTGAAAAGGTAGGGATCTGAAAGAGGTACCGGAGAAAGAAGGGAAAGTGGCAAAGGTACCTTTCTTTTCCTAATCCTCATGGGTTTGATTGATTTTTTTGTTTTTTTTGGTGCACAAAAAATTAATTAAAACGGATGAGATTTATAGAGAGAAAAATGAAAATAAAATGAGCTTAGTAGTGCAATGAAACTTATGAATGAACTACATAGACAAAATGCAAAGGTATTTTGATTTAATGGGTTATTTTTATAAAAATACATATATTTTTTTTTTTAATTGAAAAAGGGGTAGTAGCTAAGAGAGGTCTAAGAGAAATAGTGTAAGTTTGTTGAGGTGGGTTTCTCTCTCCTACTTTAATTTGTTGCACCACACAAACAAGAGAGAAATGGTAGTGTATGGGTGAGGGGAGAGGCACGTGAGAGAAGGTAAAAAGTGGAAGGATGGCACGTGTGGAGGGGGGGATGACCGGTTAAGCAGGTAGTCGGTGGATATTGGGAGGAGAGAGAAAGGAGTACGGTAGATGACAGGGTGGAAGACGTGGACTGGGAATACAAGATGATGGGAGCTGCTTAATTATTTTATTATTTATTTTTATATTTTTTTTAATTTGGGAAAACAGTTTTTTTCTTTTTTGGGGTTTAAACTTGTTATTGGAACTACTTTAATTTTGTTTAAGGGTGGGTCCTACCTTTAGCAACGACCAAGATGCTCCGGCATCTCCATGTTAAACTTCTTTTCTATTTTGTGAATTCGGATCCGCGCCTTAACCCGCTTTTCGCGCTCCGATTGTTTCATATTGATTTAGGAGCTTCAATTTGTATTTGATTAAACACAACTAGGGATGTTAATTAAGTGAGTCGAGTCCAATTATAGATTTAGGAGCTTCGATTTGTATTTGATTAAACGCAACTAACTAGGGATGCTAATCAAGTAAGTCGAGTTTGAATATAGATTTAGGAGCTTCGATTTGTATTTAATTGAACACAACTAGTTAGGGATGCTAATCAAGTGAGTCGAGTCCAAATATAGATTTAAGAGCTTCGATCAACATTTGATTAAATGCAACTACGGATGCCAATCAAGCGAGCTAAGCCCATACTATGGTCGGCTCGGCTCGTGTTCGTTTTAATTTGTCCAAACTTGAGCCGAGATCGAAACTTTAAGAATCAAGCTTTGACTGAACCGATCTTTGACCAAGCGTTGGCTGAGCCGAACTCGAGTTGTTCACGAACAACCTTGCCTTATTATTATTCTTAGTTTATTTGTCTTTAACTCTTTTTTACATTCAATTATTAAATTTTTAATATTGCGATGAGTTTATTGTTTACAATGAAAATACTACAAGAATAACTAATTATCGTGTAATATTTAGGATAGTTATAATTATATCTATACACATAATTTATTTTTATATGGAAAACACTAATCCAACTTATTCACTAACTTTTCAAGCCGAGCTTGGCATAACTCAGTTCGACTCGTTAAGGTTTTGAGCCGAACTCAAACCCGAGCCAAGCCACAACAAATCAAGCTTTGACCGATTTGAGCTCAAACTGTTCACGAATAAGCAAGGTCATTATCACTCCTAAATACATTAGTTTGATATTTAAACTATATGGAGTATATATTATCTACATTGACTACAACTTTTAATGATCATGTAAAGTAAAATATTTGGATATAAGCTGTAGTTGGATTTGTCTCAACAAAGGTTGTCAAAATTAAGATTCTACTTTGAATCAAAAAAGGCTTAAGAATTCAATCGTAGAATTTTATGCATAACTAAGTTAGATCTCATGTCGAGAGTGAGAAATAGCTCAAGTGGTTAGAGCTTCCCTCTCGGTTCCAAGAGATCATGAGATCGATTCTCACCCTCGCCCTTGTGGCTCTCTAAACACCAAAAAAAAAAAAGTTAGATCTCATGCCATGCACGCTAATATTAAATACTTATTCTTAATTAAAACGGCATTTATAATTTAAAAAACATAAATTTATATAAAATACTATAATGAATTTATTATGAAAGAATTTGTTAGCTAGATAGATATTTTCATATACGTATTTGACTATCTATATATTTTAGTATATTTCACCAACAAATAGGTATCAATTTTTTTTCTTATTAACCATATGAATTTCTTAAAACTATATACTACATAAAAACCCGTAAATAGATTTCTATTTGAATTTTTATTAGAAAGTAAATTGGTGTTGTAATAAACGTAGTACTACTACATTCACTCATATATCACATGTTAATTGTGCAACAAAAAAAAAATGTCACCCGTTAAGAATTCACTTTTATTTTTCTTAAATTTATGCTCCATAGTTGTTAATATATTATGTGGAAGGTTATATCAAATCTTTTATTTTAAGTATTTATTATTCTAATTACTTTTTTTTGGAGCTTCTAATATTGAATAATATGTAATAAAAAAATATTCAAAAAAAATATATGTAATTATTGAAGTAAATGACATTATGTTTGGGAAAAAATATGTTGAAGTTTGAATTTTTTTTTTCCCTTTTACTTAAACTTAAATAGTTGTCTACGATACATCAAATTTTTTATTTATGTATAATTTTGTTATACTTTATTTTTGTTTCCTTACAAAAATAAAAATAAAAAAAAAACTAACTAACTAAGGGACACACCAGAAAATGGCACGTGTCATTGCTGGTGTGTCTCTTAGTATATAATCTATCTATATATTATACTAAAAGACAAGCGCCTCAATGTGAGGATGACAAATGTCACTCTCTCGCTGGCTTATCTTATGTATAAAATATATCTATATAATTACTGTTTACATATTTAAGCATAGTTATTTTTGTTAAACTTCAAACAATAAAAGCAAGTTTCTATACATGTATAAGATTTTCATGATTTCCTAACATAAATATTGATTTAATTTTTTATAATAAATATATACTTTCCAATAATACAAATAATCCATAAAATCTTTCCAATCTTTATTTATAGCTAAGTTAAAGAATAATAACTAATTTGAAGCAATATGATTAAAGTGGCATAATTAAGGAAACAAATATTTCGTATTTTGAAAGGCTAATATTGTTTTTTTTTTATGAAAATTAAATGAAATCGATAATATTTAGTTTGACGTCAATTATGAAATCAATACAAACATTTTAAAAAAAATCAGATGTACAATAAAATATTGTGCACCTGTTATAAAAGCTACCCTGTAATCTATATCAATAAACCTATACTAAAGGCGAAACTAGGAATGACACTTGTCATTTCTTAGTTAAAAAAATTTCCGCCTTTTTTTCTTTCCTTTTTAGTCTTTTGCCATATTTTAATGACATCCATTTTATAACCTAAGATAACAGTTATTTCCATTTTGACAATATATTTAATTCAATACTCAATTAAATTCTTTACATATATTCTATATACGAAGTACTAGGAAACTTTAAGTTACAAAAATACTAACATAGATTGTATTGGAATATATTATTTTACAAGATTATTATAATATTGCCAATATCAATTTTTTTTCCTTCAACTTTTATCATATGATAATAAAATTTATTTTAATTAAAAAAGAAAAATCATTTTGGTACCATACTTTGTATTAATCTTAAAATTATACATAATGTTTATAAGAAAAAAATAATTTTGTAATAGTATACTTTATACATAACATATATTGGAAAATTAAACCTAATTATTCTAAATATTTTAAAACCCCGGCCTACTACTCACTAAAACATATTTAAAAAGTTGATTATTAATACTAATTATCCTAAAGTAAAATGAACTCAACTTAATTTTCATATTATGTCGATTAATGTATGTCAACAATTTAAGGACATATGTATATGAGTTCGTATATTGGTACTAATCTAAGTTTATTTTTTAATTTTGTTATATAAAATTTTATAGCTTCTAATTTTCTATTACTATATTTATTTATTTATACAATTCAATTTAACAACCTTTATGTATTTAGTATTGGTATAAACTAATTAAAATTCAAGTTATTTGTTTACAAATTATTATTTTTTTTTGGATAAATTATTGTTGAATTAAACCATTATTTATTATTTATTTGTTATAAAATTTAATTATGACCGTGCATGGCACGGGACTTAACCTAGTATTATACTAAAAGACAAGCGCCTCAATGTGAGGATGACAAATGTCACTCTCTCATTGACTTATCTTATGTATAAAATATATCTATATAATTACTGTTTACATATTTAAGCATAATTATTTTTGTTAAACTTAAACAATAAAAACAAGTTTCTATACATGCATAAGATTTTCATGATTTCCTAACATAAATATTGATTTAATTTTTTATAATAAATATATACTTTCCAATACTACAAATAATCCATAAAATCTTTCCAATCTTTATTTATAGTTAAGTTAAAGAATAATAACTAATTTGAAGCAATATGATTAAAGTGGCATAATTAAGGAAACAAATATTTCGTATTTTGAAAGACTAATATTGTTTTTTTTATGAAAATTAAATGAAATCAATAATATTTAGTTTGACGTCAATTATGAAATCAATACAAACATTTAAAAAAATCAGACGTACAATAAAATATTGTGCACCTATTATAAAAGCTACATTGTAATGAATGAAAGTTATTTATGCTTTATTGATAAAAGTTACCCAAAATAATGTAAAAGTTTTTGATACAAAAGTTTTTTATAAAGATACAAAATAGTGTAAAAATTAATTTTATTGTTTGTTGTACTCCTTGACAAATACTGAATGCTGAGCCGAAATGTTGTCTTGTAAAAAAATACATAATCTTGAACATAAATTTAATTTTAATCGGCCTTTCATTTTCTATACAATGTATTTTACAATGACCTTTTGTTTTTTTTTTGCATAAAAAAATAAAAAAAAAATGAACCAATAACCAATCTAAACAAGAGGAATAAAAGTTAAATTGAATTAGACATTTGACGGAAAAGGAATAGATATAAAATGTATTATAACTATTACTCATGTTTTAAATTGTAATATTCGTATTAACAATGCAATTACTTATGAATTTTTTTTTTAGAAAAACTAACATTTTGATTTAAAAATCGTGCATTGCTCATGTACTATACTAGATATACAACAATCATGTGCAATAATTTATGTTGTTTTATACATAATAATACTTTTAACTATAATAGTATGTGTATATAATATAATATTTTTTTATAATATAAAAAAGTATACGTATATAATATAATATTTTATAACACGTGTCCTCCATACCAAGTGTAGTCCCAATCACCACTACACCAATTGATTGTTGGTGTAGTGGTGATTGAGACTACACTTGGTAGGGAGGACATGTATGCTCCCCTGCAACAACAATCGGAAGGGGAGTGGAACCTAATAACCTAGAACTGATCCTCAAATCTGGATTAGCCCAAAGGGTGAATCGGATAGAACACCCAAAACTCAATGCATATATGACGGGAATTAATTTATCCTTTATCTATCTTATACAAAACTCCAAAGTGTATTTTTTTTTTTCAAAATATGATAATAACATTTGTAAATTTTTGTTAATATGAAAGATATAAACCTATCAAAATGTATATATAGTTAAATTGTTTAATAACTTATATCGAATGCGTAGTTTTATTAAAATTATTTGCATGTAATCATTAAATGTGTTGGATGTTGTGTAGCTATGCAATGTCCAAAACTTTAGTTGAGCGACTTTGATTTAGTGATTGTGCGGTAAAAAAGATATTGACTTCGATCTTGAAACCTAATAGTCTAATGAATTCTAAATAGAAAAATTAAAACAAAAGGAAATGAAAATAGTAAATAGCTTTAAATATTGAAATAAACATAACCTTTTAAATCAATTTAGCGAATTCAAGAGACAATTTTAAGGCATTTA